GCTCCAGACTTGGTCCTGCGCCCCAGGAATCGATCGGAGGCGCGGCTGATGCCTTTCAGAGGTGCACATTAATTTCCTATAGGCTGTTTTTATGACAGCAGATCATTTTACGCGTATTTCACTTAATTCCGCACTCTTCAGTTATATTTCACACTGAAGAAAAAAAGCATAGAAGACAAAATGTCATCCGCTGTGTATTGTGTTTCCTGTGCCCTGTGGGAGGAAAAGAAAAGTAATAGAACAGACAAATAAATAAAAGCGGTGTTGAAACTGCCGTGACAGCTTCTGCTCTTGCACCACGGAACTGCAATCAATTTTTTGTCTTCGTTGGTCAGGTGCCAGAATAACAGCATCATATCTTACAAGAGTAGATTAATTAGGGCAATTATAACAGAATAAATTAAATAATCATAAAAGTTTGTCATGGGAAAAATATGTGTTTAGAATTAATTAGTTTTCAAATAAAGCAATACTTTAATTGGGCAGAGTTACAGAATCCTTAATTGCAGGCACAGTTCCGGCTCAAATAACTTCAGTTGCTGTAACAACTTGATACATTTCTTCTCTGTCAATTCTTTTAACAGTTTGTTACCAAAGAAGATTATTGCAGGAAATGTCTGCTCAGACGTCCGCAGGGTTAATGAAGCCCCGCTACCCGAGGGCGCTGTGAGCTGTGAGCAGCAGGCACACCGTGCAGCAGGGCTGCGGCTGCTCTGCTCCCAGCTGTGCTGCAGCAGTCGGACGCCCGCAGTCCATCCCGCTGTGTCGCAGTGAGGCGGCTGGGTGAAGCTTCTTTGCACTGACGTTCTGTATTATTTTCCCATTCTCTTGATTTTCCAGGAGATCTGGCCTTGTCATTTTCTTTTTCAATATTTTTTTTTGGTGTTCCCTTTATGGAGGGTGTGTCACAGAGAACAACTGCTGTGTTCTGTGCCTACATCACCTCATGTACCGAGCAGGTAGTGGTTCCCAGAGTACATCGTAGGGCGTCTTTCCTCATCTGCAACGTGAAGCTGTTGATGAAACAGCAGAACTTTGTGCACCTCAGCTGTATTTCCACACTGCGTTTCAGGCTGTCCTTACTAAAAGCCAGCATGCTGATATCGTGAGGGAGGGGTCTTCTGATTTCAGCCTCCATATATTTAGTGTGAATGTAACTGTGATATTTGGCTGCCTTCAAAATGCTGCCTTCGGTGAGACGTGCAGTGCCCCAAAGGTGTAACGGTGCTGGAAGAGGCCAGGCAGCCGATGGCTGAAGGCAAATGTGTCAGAATGAAAGGCTGAAAAAAATTATCGGTCTGACACAGTGGGAGTATTAGAATGATTAATGTTTATGTTAATTTATGGCTTTTCCATATTGATTAATAGCTTTTTGTTTCAGTGACCAAAGTGTGTAAGTGGCAATGAGATCCATATGCTAACTCGATGTCTTGCAGATAATTACTGTCCTTCTTCCTTTTGTTCCCATGCTGACTCTGTTTTCGTATGGGAAATAATAATTACACAGTGACTTTAAACATTGCAGATAGAAGAATTTGAAGGTGAGCCTCAAGGCAGGGCTGCAGGGCTCGGCGTTCCTGAAGGCAGTGCACTCTTCATGCAAACTTCGTTACTTAAAATCCTAACGTACTGTGCTGTCGTGTCTTCCTGCTGTGGGACACTGGTGTTCTGTGAGGTGCTGACGCTGGGTGAAGCCCATTGCCATGTGCTGTGTTGCAGGCGCTGATGGGGCTTTTCTTCCTGCTCCCATCGCATTGCTTGGCGTCCCGCCAGCTGCTGATCTGCAGTTTTGTTTGCTGCCGATCCGGCGGCTGGCTGTTCCAATTAAAATGTGGAAACTTCCACCTCTGGTTGTGTAAGTGTGAGCTGGGGGAGCTGCTGTCAGTGACACGGGGCTGCACGGCCAGGCGGTGCGAACCTGTGCGTTCTCTTTGACACTGAGGTGTCTCTAGCAAGTTTCTTGAGCAGAAGGTTTCCGTCTGGAAATCTGCCTGGATTCTGCACCCTCAGTGCACACTGCTGAGTGCTTTCCGTCCTGTCCTGTGATTGCTGTGTTTTTTTTTGTGTGTGTGTGGTTTTTTTTTTTGGGGGGGGGGGGCGCCGCAGGGTAAGTTTCAAGGGCAAATATAAAATACAAACACACCTCACTGTGCCTAATTTGTACTTTGGTTATCATTGGTAATATGGAAAATAACTAGTTTGAATAGAATGCGTTGGTTATCCTTACATCTAAACATTGACTGCTTTATTTACACATTTTGCTGGCTGCATCAGACATTGAAGTTTGAAATCAATTTCTTGATTCAAAGATTTCTACTGATTTCTAATTTAAATTTGAAATGCATATTCTTAAAAATAGTGTTAAAGAAATCCTAAGAGTACAGTACAGGTTCGTATCTGCATTTAGCACCAAAGACTGTAATTGGAGCTTTAAACTGAAAGAGCAACGCAGTGGTGTTGGTTGGCGGGTGAGTTCTGAGTGTGCTCAGCACTGCGCAGCGCTCCCACAGCTTCCAGCCGTGCAGGCAGTTGCTATGCAGGCTTTCCTTCTGGATCTGCTTTCAGCAGTGCACCTTTCTGTGGCTGCACACAACACAGACTGTGTTTTTCAGGGCTCTGGAGTGAGAATGCCAAAATCGGGCTGCCTGGCTTTTAATTTGGGCTTTAAATCTCAGTCCCCCTTCATTCTTCCCTAAGCGTTTTATACGTGCTGACTTGATGCTGAATGCAGAAAGGCTTTTCCTTGTGCCGTTCTTTTTCACCCAGGTGCAAACAGATTTCTCTATAAGATTGCCTCGTGTTTTCTCTTTATTTATATTAACAGCTGACTTTGCTGTTTCACTGTAATCTGTCATTGTCACTGGTGTATGCAGAATGAAGAACTGGGCTTAAAAATTGCCACAACGCACCTAACAGCGTTGGTGCACCAAGCCACATCCCAGCTCTCAGGCCTTTCGCTGTCAGTAAAATACAAGCACTTGCTGTTGCTGAGGTGAGCTGTGATCATTCAGCTCGTGCCCCGAGTGGCAGCAGTGGCACCGAATGGCGAGGGCAGGTTTGTGCAGCAGTGCAGGCTGAGAAGAGGCTTTGTGTGAATGGAAAAGGAACCGTGGAAGGAGGAGGAGGATCAATTCATTCACATCTTTCTCAACTCGTGCTGTGCTGGGTTTTCCTGTGGCAGGGTGGCATCTGGCAGACTAGGAATTAAGAAATCCCTGTTCTGTTTTTTACAGCTAGTGGTGAGCACACCTGGATGTGCTGAATTTTTGCAGTAGTAATTTTGCCTGCACACCTGCTGGTTTCAGTCCCCAATCAGTTTGCCAGACATGCTTAGAGATTTATTTCACCTGTGCCTGAAAAAGTGCTCTGACAGTGGAGTTCTACTGTGAGCGAGCCTGAAGAGCAGAGCACCTTTTCCATGTTTTGCTGGAGCCGTTGGTATCTCGAGCAGAACTGTGGAGTTTGTAGGGAGGGAGAGGGTTTGGATGATATTTTAATAGCAATTTGTTTTTGCTTCCATGTGTGATAGAAATACAAGTGACAGGAGTGGGAACAGGAGAGTTGCTGAATTCTGCTGGAATTTTTCCTGTGGGAATCTGTTAATGTTTTTAATTCTCTGAGAGATTTTTCTAAGGTAATCCTTTTGACATTTACATATTTTAAATGACTCTCATAAAATAAAAGCTTAGCTTTTTTTAATATATATGTATAAAATGTGGAAGTGATGATACCGGAATACCACTGCACAGAACTCAGCGGGCTCAAAGAGTATTCTGCAGCCTATAGAGGATCAGCTCTGTGCAGGAGATTAATAGTGAATTGTTCTTTAAAATAATGAAACTTTGGAGGAATTCAGTTGTTGTGGCACTTAGCAGAAGCACGTTTTCAGGACAGAAGAACCCTTTTTGTACCTAACGTGCTGCATGTAGCCGTTTGCTAACTGGAGCGCTGATGTGAGCAGCTGAGTTTCCCCTTGTTGCTCACACAGGGATTTAATCAGGAGCTCAGGGGTTTGCAGCACACCTTGTGAGCAGAGCCTTCTGTGGTTTGTGCTGTGCTGAGGTGAAGCTCAGAATCCAAGAGATGTGACCGCGAGCACAGGAAAGCCAAAGTGGGAAAAATAAGACAAGAAAGCTTTCTTATGAACTCGCGCAGCTTGCTTCCTCAGGCCCCTGAGCCAGATTTCGATTTCAGACCAGCCTAAATGCTAAGCAAATCGTTTAATTAAATTTGCTGCAGATATCCCCAGTTAACAAGAGCAGATTGGTCTCCCTGAGGCTAAATGGAGCTAACGATAAAATAAATGTTGTGCTAATTAGAGAACTCATTTTCTGACACCTGGGGTGAAACTTTAAGAGGTCCTAGAGATTTTGGACTGCGCGTTCATGGATGTGAGCCTTTACTTGTGCTTCACGTGGGCGCTTCTGCAAAATGTACCCGAGGTGGTAAGATCACACAGGCTTCACATTCAGCATGGCTGTCGCTGTGTGTTGAAGTGCAGCATGGCACAGCTGCTGTCTGTCAGCATCAGCTCAGTGCCGTGTGTTCTGTTATCTGTGTAAGGGAGCAGGGAGCGCTGAGCCCCTCGGCGCTGTGGGTGCGCTGCCAGTCTTAGAGGATGCTCCTGTGTGTCTGCAGGAGCTGGTGGGTGCTTTCTGGGGGTTTAATTTCATTCAGGTTCTCATGGGACTTTTTGCTGGCTTAGGTACCTGAGAGCAAGAATGTATCAAAAGTTCCTACGTGATTTGTCCAGGCTCATGGATACAGAAGGCAGCACAGACGCGTTTTTATAGTTCAGCACTTGTGGAAAGATAAACGAGACACTTAAGACTGTCATACTGCTGTTCACTTGTTGAGTCATGATAGGAAGTAATAAGAAGTCATTTCGTATGCTCAATAAAAAAACAATATGGGCTTAATATTAAGCTTTGTTTCAAAATTCACATACCTGGATTGCAAAAAAAACAAAAAAAAAACCAAAAAAAAAAAACAAAAAAAACCAAAAAAAACCAAACCAAACAGAAACAAAACAACCAAGCAAAGAACCTGGCTCCAGAGAGCAAGACGTTGCTTCATTTGCTTATAAATGGAGATTGTTTTGTTTTTTGTTTTGCTGTAGCCAGTCTGAAGATTTTTCTGAGGCGCTGCCCTTGTGAAGACATGCACTTGCAGTGTCTGCCTGATGCCAGATAAAACCCTTCCCATAGGCAGGCACACAGTTGTGGTCTGTCAGCAAAACTTCTGTGTCAGTAATTGGAAAAATGCTATTAAAAACAACCTGCCCAGTAATCCCCACCTGCTTTGTCTTCCTCGCTCAGTGCAGTCTCAGTGCTGTTCCTCCCTGCAGAAGGACCAGCTCCTCTGTCGAGCCGCCCAGCTGTTATTTCTGTGGCTCCACAGAGTGTTGTTTTGAGGGTGACAGCACGCTGCTGCCCCAAGGTGACCTTCTGTGACAAAATTCAGGATTAGAGCACAGGTGAAGCGTGTTTGTGATGGGTGTTCAGAGCTGGAGCTCACCATTCCTGCCCCATGGAATAAAACGTTTAACTCAAGTCTAGGTAGTGTGAAAGAACGCGTTTCTTTTTTCGAGTAACCATGCCTGCAACCAGAAGCTGGAGCACTGGGGAGTGATGGAAGCCTTGTGTAAAAATGATCATAGCTCCGATCTCGTCTGCAATTCTTCTCACTCGACATACATACTGCAGTGCTTTTCTGTGAATGGTTGTGGTTAGAAAGCACAAACAGAGCATTTGATGGTGAAGAAAGGGAAAGACTTTCCAGGAGGATAAGTGGAACGATAAATTATTGCATTGAGTTTCTTGCGTTCAGTGTCTGTTCCTTTTTGCAGCAGAGAGAACAGCTGAACAATTCTGTATTTACAGGGGTGCATGCACATGGCAACTCGGCAACCAGCGAGCTTAGAAGGAAACACCACCTAATGTCAGCTTGCAGATTGGGTGGATGCTCAATCGCTCAGAGCTAAGAGAAATTACTTCCAAAGGATTGTATGTTACCAATTCCCAATATTAGATGCTACTTCTAAGAAAAGCTAAGGTCTTGATCCAAAAAGATTTACAGCTGTAACTTCCCTGCAGGCTGCCTTGCCCTCCATGGTATCCGTGTTGTTTTGCTCTCCCAGGGGCTCGGATGGCTCAGCCGCCTCCAGGCCCACGCTTTGTGCTCAGAGGTTCCAGTGCTGCTGTCCATGCGCTGCGTTTCTCCTGCGGAGGTGAAGAACCTGCTGTCCCCATTCTCTTCTCTGGGTAAGTAAATGGATTTCTGGCTAAGCTGAGCATTGTGGAGACGTTTCCTTTTAAAATAAAGGATGTTATTTAGATAAACAACAAAATGGATGGCTGGTGAATGATGGGTCTGCCGTCTTTGTACGTGTAACTTCTGTCTGGGGGAAAAAGAAGGGAGGAAGTATTGGACTGTCTTATCAGCATTTGTTATTGCTGCCAGGTCTGAGAATGGGTTTATCCATGTCTGGAACCTGAAAACTCACAGAGTGGACGCGGCCCTGGATGGCCATGGAAGAAAATCTGTCTTCTGGTTGGAAAAAATGGATGGTGAAGACAGGCTCCTGAGGTTAGTGAGGCTGGCAAACAAAGCGAAAATTGTTTTTGTCCCTGTTATATACCTGAGTTTAAAAAAAAGAACAACCAAAAAATATAAGGAGCAGGACTATTTTATTTTTGGAGTCACTGATAGCCTCCCCAGCACATACAGAAAATATGTACACATACAGAAGTACAAATACCCAGAATTACTATGATCAGTTAATTTCTTCATGATGCACGTGAGACTGCATTGCAGTGTGACTGCACGTGTATCGTGAAGAAATGAATTGTACCATTTTTCATTGTAATTTCCCAGTGTCCTTTTTACTGCACTGACATCAGGTGAAGTTTCTGCTTAAAGGAAATGGGTTTGAAGTTAGGTGCTTCACAACTGTTTTTCAGGGAAAATCAAATCTGGTACAGTACAGAAATTGTGAGGAGAAGGAGGAAAAGGGGAGGAGAAGAACCAGAGATGGGAGAACGGTGCGAAATGAGCAGGAATGCTGAGCTGCACGCCCGTGTTGCAAAACGCCCGTGTTCTCATTTAGGAAGGGGAGGTTGGGCAGATCTGTGTACCTTGGATTAGACAGGTGATCTGAGCGAGTGGATGCCAAAGTGTCTGTATGACTAGGAGGTGTTCTGACATGTTTATCTGGAGAAGACATCTCTTATAATGCACAGTGGAACTCATTAGCATTTATATTTGTTATCTACTTAAGTACAATTATCAACACTCTCCCCCATAAAATCCTATTGAATGAGTATTGTTTGTATTCTTACAGAGCTTTTCATTACCTCTATTTTTGGTGTATAGCAGTTCATACAGCAGTGCAATTCTGGGACACTGTTTACCTGTATTCTTTGCTATTCTGCTCTAAATCACAGCAGTTTCTTGCCGTCCCACCACATTTTTGTATTCCTAGCACTATGTTTTCATAGTTTGTCATTCAGCTGAACAGCAGATGGGAGTTTCTGTACTGATGTTGAAGAAGCCCTAAATCAGTCAGATTTGCATCTACTCCTGTTCTGTTTACGTGGTTCTGTCAAGCAATACTGCTAATTCAAATAAGAAATGGATGAGGAATTTCTGATGACCCCTTCTCCCAGGCAGTAACAGGATGGGTATCCTGTGCTGCTGTAGTTTAACTCCAAAACTGCTGCTTCTCCACAGCAATGTTTTGTTCTGGGGCAACTGGAGCTGCAGCGAGCAGTGCTGTGCTGACTGGCCTTCTTGGCTGCTCTGTGTGGGACCACAGGGGCTTTCCCTGGTACGAGGAGGTGTATGAGTCTGCTTCTGCATGTGGCTGCGTGCAGCTGGCCACTGAGGCCACTTTACATTTGTGGTCCCTCTTGTCTCGCTCTTTGTCTTCCAGCTGTCAACAAACCTGATCATTCTGTTTTACTGTTACAGTGGAAGAGTGTTAAATATGCTGATGTGTAGTGTTCTTGTCAGGAAAATATTCAAGTACTCATTAAAAAAGTCATAAATAGTTGCATAAAGAAATAGCATAACTGTGTTTGATGGCTCTCTCTTGGTAGGAAAGTGTGGCTGACAGTGAGGATGGTGTGTAGCTTCTGAAGCTTTACTAAGCTCAGTCCTTATTACGTATTAAAGTCCCAACTTTGAGATACTGAACTGCAGGAAGGCAGGTTTCCTCAGTCCTGCTGCTCACAGGACAACTTGCTTTATTGTAAAAGTCAAGGTCGTGACCAGAGGATCTGCCTGTGGGATTTAGCAGAGGGACGGACTGCAGTGACGGATTCTGTCTTCACGGAGAATGTGGGATTCTGCAGAAGCTCTCTGTTGAAGGTGGCACAGGGACGCTGGCTGATGGCCACGGCAGCCAAGGCCCTGGAGGAGGTAGGAAATGCTGCTTTTTCCGGTGCTTGGAACATTGCTTTTGTTTCTTATTTAAGAAAGTTTGGAAGGAGAAACATCATTGCTCTGAAAGCCGCTGCTCGAGAGAGGGCAGCATGAGGAACCTCCGGGGCTCCTAATCACCATTACCTGCCAGAAAAGTGACTGAGTTATATAACTCATGCTCTAATAACAAGGATACCACCCCAAGTTTTGTGTAACATTTAAGTATTTGCAGCTGCTGATGGCCTTTCATGTGCAGGAGGTTTGAAAGCTCCTGTGGTGCCGCTGCTGAATGCTGTTAAAAGGGGAAAAGAGTCCTTCTGGGGAGCTAACAGTCAGAAGTCTGTCGTCAGATGGCCGTTCTCATCTGCTGTCTCTGGCTGGAAGTTGTGCATGCTGAGAGGAGGGGAGGTGCAGGTGATTTGTAATGCAATATGTGGTCTTTCACCTCGGGCTAATTCTTTAACTGGTACTTTGGCTGGAAATAGTGGAATTACTATTAGCAGCAAGAGGTTTGCTCTGTTTGAAATAATTGTAGGGTTCACTTCAGTTCCTACTGTATACACCCACATTGCATACCCATTATCACAGCAGTCATAGACTGACAGCTTTGTTGGCATTTTCCATGTCTGTTTTGTACAAATTGTATTTTTGTTTTCTTTAAAGACTGCTTGAGGACATGATACAAAATTAAATTGATTCACATGCTTGACATTAAAATACCAAAAGTATGAAAAAAGAGGTGATATGAGTAAACAAAAGCAATGTTGTAGTTAAATTGCAAGTTGTTCATAAGCATAGAAGATCAGGAGCTCACCTGGACTGTAGGATGTATATCCTGAAAGTTACAGTGTGTGTGCACTAAGCAGTGTGTGGGATGGCGCCTGCACTGCGAGATGTGGGCTCTTTGTCCCTCAGAAGCTGAGGTGTGTGTCAGTACTGTGCTGGCCTACAGCCAGAATGTTCAGCATTTTACAGAAGTAAGTGGAGAAACAGCCTCTGTGCCACGAAATGAAACCGTTCTCGGGCGCATCCATGTTGTGATCAAACAGAACTGCTCCTGTTTGACAGAGGTGCTCAATGATATTTAACTTAAACCTGAAAAGTGCTGTCTTGCATCAGGTGGAGAGGAACTTGTTTCAGTCGAAGTGCGCACACACTGTTCACAAAGAATTAAATAGTCATAGAGAGGAGCTGCTTTACCCCAGTGTCTCTTGCAATTCATCTCTGGTTTACTTTCATTTGTTTGCTTGGGCTTTGCAAGCTGGTAATGATTTGCTGTCTCCTGAGGTAAGATTTCCTCTCTCTGTGTGAACTTGACACTGGAACTCTGTCAGTTTTCAGTAAATGCACATACATACGCTCCCATAATATGCAGTGTTTCCAAATAGGCAGCACTGTGAGACACAGTACATTTGCAGCTTATGATTAAAATTAAGACTTAATAAGTGTTTATGCTTGGCTGGTGCCCAAAGAAGAGTAATTTTGTCTTAAAGCAGGTTCAGTCCATAAATAATGAGATCTGAACAGGCATTTATTTGTTCGTGATTGCATTTAAATCACCAATTATGAGTTACATGCACTTTTCTTGCCAGTTTGCCAGAAACATGTTAAAAGCTTTATTAATGTGGAAAAGAAAAAGGGTGTGTTTCCTTGTGGCCAGTTTTAGCCACCCAGGAACACTATTAACCTCAGGCAAAGGAAAATCTTTCTCCTATTAAGCAAAACCAATATAAACACAGAACTTCAAGTTTTAGGTTACAGATGTCAAAATACATGAAATAGTATTTATTTCTAAGGCTCAGTTGTCTAATGCAGGCAATCTCTGGAACTGTCAGTCTAGCACAGGCAGCTCACGCCCGACTGCCTTCTGCAGAAAAAATCCTCTTCTCTGCTTCCCTTTGTCCTTCGCAGGCTCAACCGTAGCCCTTGTAAGAGGTCTTTCCTTTTGAATCAAGATAAAATAAAGGAGTGGCTTTTTAAGAATGACTCTTAACCTGCAGAGATGCATTTATCCCAGTGCATTTATCTTCCCTTGTTAACTAAAAGTTGCAGTCCTGGTTTTCTTGTAGTCTGGAAGATGATGCCCTGCGGGGAGCCAGTGATGAAAGGCACAAGATGAGAGTGGGTCACCTTCATATTTACAGCTGGTTTTCTCCAATAGCTAACTTGGTCATTATACTGATAGCAAGAAAGTTGCCAAGAGAAAAGAATCTTTTGTTAAGAGCACAGCTCCAAAGAAGCAGAATTCCCAGATGCTCCAACTTTGGTGTCTGTACACTGCAAGGCTCTGCTATAGCCTCCATCTGTCAAATCTGGAGAACAGTTTCCTGCTCCATTGCTAACTGGCTTTAGAAAATGCTCTGTATATTGTGTTTAGTACATCATTGACTTGCAGTCCTAGAGTGCAGCTGGCTTTTGGCAGGCTAGTTGACAATCTCTAGAAATAGGAAGATGTTCTGGCAAGCTTTGAACTAAAGGTATGGGATTGGAAAGCCATTGCAGCTGCTGCAGTCTTGATTGATGGTTCCCAGAGGAGCCATATTTGTTTAATACCTCATCTCAGATGCTTAAGGAAATTCACATGTCTTGGGCTGTCCAACAGCACTATTGGGCCTTCGCACATTCTGAAATAATCCAGAGTGGCTGGTGATGCTGGATTTATCAAATATTTGAAGTCCTTTACTTTTATGAGATAATGTAGGCTGTTGCTTATTTAATTAAAATAAAAGATCACCTCAGTGATTAAGTATGTGTCTGAGGAAGATGTGTGTGTGTGTGTGTGTGTGTGTGTGTGTGTGTGTGTGTGTGTCAAAAACTTGCTTCCAGGAGCATCGGGTCTTTCTCCATAGTTCCAAGCTCAAGTTCAGCCCCAAGTAAAGCATTTCTGTGTCAGGCAAGAGACTGAAGACCTTGCAGTGCCAAACTGCAAAGGCAGACTCCCTGATCTCACCGGCCATCACCCTGCGGTGGAGATGAGCTACTTCTCTGGCAGAAGAAAGACTTTTGCCCCACTTTTTTAAAGACAAACCCATAATTCATTGCCTTCAGCGCAAGAAAAAGTAGGGGCTGCTACACAGAGAGCAGGTGTTAAGCACAGAATTACCTGACCCTGTTCAAAGCAGGGTCAGACAGCACTGTGGTACAAATACCAGTGTGCTGTTGGTGCTCCAGCCTGCACTGAGCAGATGATTTGGGGCGTTAAGTTCTGCTAGTGCAGTCAACCAGTGAATGAAAATCCACTTCAGATATATACTGTGGCTGTCCATCCACACAAGCTCTGTATTGCCACGCAGAACAGAAGAGAGAACAGAAGTGTCCACAACTGAACATAACAGAAAAACTTCACTACAAAGACAGAGAAAGGGGAAGGAAGCAGGGAAGTGTTTTCAGACTAAGCTGTCTGCGTTCTTACCTGCTGTGATGCACATCACCTGCTCTAAGGAAAGAAGTCAGGAGAGGTAACAGAACAGTGGAAGATGAAGTTACCTCCTAGCACTTCTGTCTGGTCTTTCATAAAACTGCTCACCTTTCATAAAACTTCAATTTAACATGTATTCCCCAGTTTCCTCCAGACAGCTTATTACTGGGAGTACTTACACTAGCCTTAAAAACACAAGTCTTTTAAGGTGATTAGCAGCAGAATTTTGACCTGGAGCATGACCAAATATTCTTGTTTTCCTGATGTCAGGTTCAGGTTTTGGAGCTACCATCCAAGACGTCAGTCTGTACCTTGAAGCCAGAGATGGGTGCCAAGCTGGGCATGCCCATGTGTCTGAAGTTATGGCAGGTAAGGCAAGAGTGCCTGCTAATTGTGAAATGTTTTCCCTGTGATTCATTTTATGTGAAGCACATGAATCTTTCTTCACTTGGATTTTGATTTATTATCAAACCAATCAAGTAATTATACTATTAAAGGGGGGAAAGATTTGTGAACATCGTTAATGTAACTTTCAGAGCTCTCCAAGCTTTAATGGAAGATTTGCAAATACTTAGGGAAGGCTTTATATCCTTAGGATAGGCACAGTTTTTCCATCAATCAAGAGGAAAAATGAGTGACTTACTGAAGCCGGTTGTTTGATACAGCTTCTCGCCTTATTAATGATGAGAAACGATTGGGTTACTTAAAGACAGTGATTGTAGTGGCAGGTTACGTTCACTTTAATGCCCCCAGGGTAAGGAAGCACTCTATGAACATTCCTGTTACCAGCGTACAATAGGAACAGATATTTATGGTTGTACTGGCTTTGAACTAAAAGGTAAATAAAAACAGCTAATTAAAACAACAAAACAAAATAAACAACAGAAAAGTACATTTGCAGAGCACTCTGCCAGCGATGCTTATGGGATGTCAGCAGGGAAAGGCAAGTAGCACAGGAAGGCGGCAGCAGAGAAAGGAGTTCAAGTGGTGGGCTTTAAATCCCCAAAAATTAGTTGCAATGCAGATTCCCTGCTTTACTCCCTGACCGCTGACAGTTCCAGGTCTGCAGCGCCATCTGAGCTGATTTCAACTACGTGATTCCCTTCAGTTCCATCTGAAGATCTGTGTTGGTTTCAGCTGCACAAAGTACTGATCAGCTGCGCATTTGAGGCACCGCTGTCTTCGCTCGGGGCCTGAACTGGGTGAAGTCCAGAGGAATTCAGTTGCTGGTATCAAGGAAAAGTAGGAGAGGCCACAGTGTAAGTCCCATGGAGGAATAGCTAGGGGGGAAAAAGACAAGTAGACTAATCAGGTTTTCATTAAACAAAGTTTATTCTAAAAAGGCAGTCGGTACTCAAGGAAATGAACGTGGCTCTCTGTGGCCTGGACGTATTTTAAGAAGATGAAGATATTGAGGGAAAGTACAGTGTTTAAAATTTTGTTGCCCATACAAGGAGTTCTCTTTCTCACCATGCTTCCCACATGAACTAATCTGCTGATCCTCTAGGAAGCAGAGCAGGTGCAGAGTCTTGTTTTTAAGTAAGTTTTCAATTCTGTTGGCAGTAGGGATGAAGGATAAGACTGGGAATTGGGAGAGGTGAGTTACTCTGTGCAAACTAAAACTTTAGTAAGTTACCACAACTTCCTAGACTGCAACAGACAAGGACAGCTGCAGTCTCACATTTATTCTTTTATTCTTTTATTTTTAATTCTTTTACAAAGGTGTTGAACTCAGTTCAAAGGCACAGGGGAGGAGGATGCTCTTTAAGGGCAAGTAATTATTTGGAGCACCGGAGTGCTGCTCTGTGTTCTGTTTTGTGGTTCCCTAAGTGGGCCATGAGTAACCCTGTATCCATGAAGCAGGACGCCAGCTAACCCAGCTGCACCCTTCCTGATCAGAGGCAGCTCAGGGTCTTACAGGCAGTAGCATGAGCTGGGAACTCTCTCATATACACAGTGGACCTGAGATGAAGCTCGAGCCACGCTCACTGCTTCTAAGCAGTTTAAAAGATATCAACATTTTATTTTGCTGTTCTGAAACTTTTTCTTTCCTCTCATTTGACTCTAAGTCTGTCCTTTACTTATTCAGTGCCTCATTCACTTTTTTCCTTTCTCTTCTGAAGACTCGCAATCTTGAATACGTTGTTCCTTCAGCTTCACACCTTTCTGCTATTACTAATTGGGTGGGGTAAGGATTTGCAGGAGTAAATATGGCCTTCATTTTCTGTACTGTGGGGAAGGCATCGTGTTGCGTAAGGGCACAAACAAAATAATTCAGTGGGAACAATACATGTAGAAACTGGAAATGCAGAGTTATTACTTTATATAAACTATAGCAATTATTCTTGTTGAGCTGACAGCAGATCACCTTCTCTTCCTTCCTTGACAGTTATCCAAATGCAACATCGAACTGCTCTGTTTAGGAAGAATGATGATTTGTAATTTAAATTTTCCACTGACACCAGAACATGGCTGGCAAAGTCGTTTCTCCAGAAGTGTCCATTATGTACAGCTGAAATAAGTGGGCTGTTGTGAAGCACTGCTTGATGAGGCCAGGCATCAGACTGAGAGCTTCTCCAATCTTTCAATAGCTGTTATTAAGTTCAGGTATATGTATTCATTAAAGTATTACACGCTCGAGCATGTCAGGAGGAACCTCAGGAACTACAGGAGCCCTTGCTTTCACAGAAAAAAACGCTTTTTAAAACAGACCAATCTCTCACTGCAAATTCCATTTCTGAAGTTAAGTTGAGATGCCTGCAGCAGAAAGAGAAATGTTTCTGCTGGCCATTTGCTGTGATGCTGGGCACCCACTGTGAGGTGGGGAGCACCCACAACACTTGGCCACCCTGTTTTGAGGCAGAAGACCCAGCTCTGCCCGTCCCAATCTTGTTTTGTTGGATAAGGAAAGTCTGACCATCCAAGAAGAGCCTCAAGAAGAGCAGTCTGCTCACAGAAGAGCACTACAGTAACAGCTCTTCTCAGTTTTTCTGTCCAAACTGGGGGCTTTCTTAAACTTAATGTACCTATAAAATACTTTGGGTTTTTTTTTAATTAAAATACATTTTAATTCAGATTTTTATTCTTTTCTTTACTCCAACGTTTAAAAAAAAAGAGCACTCTCCATCCAAAATACCTAACATTTAACATTGTGAACTTGCATATATTTGACAGTTATTCTTTGCTCTGATGTTATTTTAACAAAAAAAAGGATTGTGCCCACATGTGGCCAAAGCAAGGCCTCTGCCTCTTCCAAAGAAAAGGAACCTTAAAGTCAGGAGTGAGACTTGTACAGGATTTGAGGTGAGGGCAGACCTGCTTTGTTTCCTTATTTTAAAGAGCAGTTTTGTTCCCTGCATGGTAAGATTTATTCCTCATTTAAATGTTTCTTTGGGCTGAATAAATCTGAAAAAGAACGCAGTGCTTTTACTCAGCAGCTTTATTTCCCAGACCACCCATCTCTTGTTGGTTAAATTCCCCCTGGAAGAAATAATCACCCGTGGGAGAGCAGGCTGGGCCATTAATAGAGGTGGTGAGCTCTTGGTCAGTGCAGGCTTGTAGCACACCACTGGCAGCAAGTCCATGTGAAGAACCTCATTCAATCACGCGATGCCGGTGACAACTATTTCTTTATAAACATCCTTTAACTTGAGTTTGTTTCCAACACTAAACAACAGATCGTAGGATCAGGACAGGTTTGGAAATAACTGAATAAGCTCTGGGATGCGTTTCTTAGGTTGGTGTCCCTGCAGGAGGTGGTCATCATCCCAGTGTCTGTTTGGTGCGTTGTCTCTCTCCTATTAAAAGAAAACCCTGCAGCAGATGCTTGTTATTTAGTTGCTTTTCATTCGGGATTTGCATCTTCACTCACGCAGCCAGTTGGTGCTTACAGGGTCATTAGTCTTTGGCTGGAGCGATGATGAATATTTTCCTTAAGTGTGACATGTAATCCAGTAATGTTCCCCTCTTTGAGTTATTTCAGAGGCTTAAATAAATTAGGTGTCTGCCCAGGGTGCCGTGCCCTTTGGCCTGTGACATCATTAATCAAAATAGCCTTCAGTTGGTTACAGTGGGACTCGGGCGCCTGTTAACCCCTTGGTGGCTCGCCCAGAGGTCTCTGAAGAGGTTTGGTGTCCAGCCTGATGTGCTGCAGTGCCTGCAGTCCCTGTGAGCAGCCCTGCTTTGGCAGCGTGCAGCTGCACTGGCGCGTGGCTCTTCTCAGTGCCCGCATGGTTCTGCACAGCTCGATGCTCTATTTATTTTTCTATTTCTTATTTTTTTTAACAATTGCAATGAACTTTAGGCCACGAGTTAAAGCTTCAGAAACTTCAGGCAGTCTTTTTGCAAGTGTTGTACAGGGCTATAGATTGGACTTTCAGTAATCTTCTGTGTGTGAATATAATATACATGCATGCATTAGATATCTGCTACATGCATCAAGTATAAAATGTTACGTGGTGATACAGAAGCTGAGTGCTTGTCAGCAGTTGCTGGTAATGCTGTTAGTAAAAGTGGTGGACACACAGAGATGCGTCCTTACTGGTGGCACTGGCAGTTAGACTTCTAAACTCTTCTCTATTACACCTGTCAGCATTTTCATTTACTTTCTCGATGCTTGATCTAATAAAACCTAGTTGGAGGTGAGAATTTCACAAACAGACTGCTCACTTCTCAGTTTTATTTTTCTCTTGGTCAGGGCAGCTGTGGTTCACAACCGTCGCTTCTGGCCGGCTATGAAGATGGATCGGTGCTCCTTTGGAATTTGTCAACGGGAAAAGTGTTGAGCCAACTGATTTGCCACCAGGAGCCGGTGATGAGCCTTGACTTTGACTCAGAGAAGGCCAAAGGGATCTCGGGCTCATCCGAAAAGGTGCTTAGCATCTGGAGCCTCAATGAGCAACAGAACCTGCAGGTCAGTGCCGCTGGCCCTTCAGTGTCATTTATCCCACTTTGCACTAACAGTTTGATAGACTAAAAAATTATTTAGTCATGGAGAAGAGTTGTTGCAGACCTCTAGCTAATTAATCACAGACTGGTTAGAATGCTTGTGCTATGTGCCTAGACTTAACAAAGGACGGTGAGGATTTAAAAAAAAAAAGGCTCTCACATGTTTCTGGTTTTACTGAAGTTGCAGCAGGCGTGCAGGCCTAGCATTTCTCAAACCATTGCCTCCATGTCTTCATTTATCACGTTAGTAGTATCCAGCTCTCAGAACGTCTCAAACATTATAAATGACTTACAAAAATGAGAAACAAAGGATTGCTTTTCCAGAGGTTCTGCTTGAATGGATAGAGTTTTCCTTTTGCTGTGGAGAAAGACAGAACATTGCATGAGATACCTGACAAACTGAAAGAACAGGCATAGCCTGGCTAAGGGGATGCGAGGGGTAGGCAGCTAGCTTCCCTTTGCACTTCTAGCATGCTAGCTGGAGACAGGGAAAGAATAAGTTCACATTGGTTTATGTAGGTTTATGCCTGAGCTATATGCACCTGGAGTGGCAGGTTTAGGGGTAGGTCTCATAATCACCACCAGTTCAGTCTCTGCTCGTGAATGGCAATAAATATTGCTTAATCTAGACAACTTAAGCAAGTGTTCCAACACTGCCAAGGGGTTAAGGAGGTTTTAAGTAGGTGTGGAAATAAATTGTGTAAATAAAGGCTCTTGAAAATGGCCCATCCATTGCCCCTGCACTGCTGAGCGCTTTATTTTTTGCAGTTGTTGGTAAGGCAGTTGTTCCCTGAACACACATTGCCACTGTGTGCCCCTGTGTATCTCTTCAGAACAACTGGGTGCATGGATTCAAGGAAGAAACAACTGCTCTTAGCGCTTGCAGCTGTTGCAGATTTTGTGAGGCAGCGTGATGAGTTGATGCCATTTTCTGAACAGTTACAAGAACAGCAATTCCCCGGGCGTTTGGCAGTGACATCATGTGGGGACGCCGTCAAGAGCTGCGATCTGATCACCGCAGCACTGACGGATCAGCACGGCACTAGCATTCAGTACGTGCTTTACACATACACCCGACTGAGGTGCTGTTTGCAGCACACAGAGCTCACCAGGTGCTGAGGAGAAAGCCAACTTTAATATGCAGTTAGCCACGAAATAGGAGAGGCAGTCTAGATTCTGAATGGAAGCAATGAAGCAGCAAGTGAATGTGATTGAAGCAGAGTTTAACAAGTCTGGTGCATAGCTGTCCTAGTTGGGCTTTGTCACGTTTGCCCCCACAGCCTACACCTGGAGTCCATTGCTCAGGGAAGCTGAAGGACAGTGAGTAGGTAAGGCTCAGTAAGAGACCTGGTATTGAGCCTGGTTTTCTAGAAATCTGACACCATGGCAGGTTTCCTTAAGATTCGGATACTTGCTGTTGGAAAGGAAGTCATTCCTTCCTATTAATTATAGCAGGGCATTCAAAGAAAATCCTGCTCTTCACAGCACGTTACACTTATGAGTGAATTGTAATGCAGGGTAGGACTTGGGGAAAAATCACAAGTTGTTCACCTGAAATATTGCAGATGTTTTCCACAGAGCGCTCACGGTCAGTTACGCCTTCAGAGCATCACACTGATGGCCCTATTTCTCAGGAGAAATTGAAATGCCAAATGTTGTAACCCATAAGTAATGCCTTGGTGCTTCGTGCGTGGTGTGAATTCCCCAATAAAGTGCATCTTTCATGTGAGCACTACAGGCTGTCAAGGACATAGCTTGTGGGGTTTTTTCTCTACTATTACATTAATAATAAAAACCAGATGGGGACTTTTCTTTTTTGGCATTCCAGTTACCTGAGGTAATGGTAGATGGTGGAAAGCCACTCAGTGGCACGTTATTTTTATTCTAAAAGGTTTTAATAAGTAAACGTGGTGCGTAGCTATCTGCTGTTGGAGAAATAATGATGCAATGATGGTACTTCAGCTCTGTTTTAAGTGGCAGCGTTCCAGTGTGTCAGTGAATAGATGATGAAGGTACTTCATCATTTATCGCTATGGGGAAAGTGGTGCATTGTCTTGTACAAGAAAATTGCTGAAATCATCTCTGTCAGCAGATGACTGGATTGGTTATGAGCCTTCTGATTTGGCTGAGATAGTATAATTAAGTGGTTACATTTGTGATGGAAAGTAGGAGGTAAACAGCTTCCACAGGTGAATAAACGAAGCAGAACTAAAATCCAGTCATCAAAGGAGCACTCGACTTTCATGGGGCAAGAAAGAAAATTCTATGAAAGCTGCAGTGTAGGTAAGCATGCAGGTTCTGTTGGTCGGGTTACCGAGGTTTTTCCCTTAAATGCAGAAGTTGAAGTTGCTGCTGTATTTGCTACTTTTTAAAAAACAGCTCAAACACATAATTTGGGTGTAGGAGAGGCTGATTTTAATAAGAAAAATCGTAGATGGCAAGTGTTGAGGAAAGGAGAGGTGGATGTCTGGTCTCAGCATGTCAGAATTTCTTCATGAATCTGCCAGTAGATACAAGTGTCCTTGGCCATGACTGGCTGGAAGCAGCTCACCTGTTCGTGGCTTTGTTTTCTTAATTCTAAATTAGCTTTCTGATTAGGAAACAATGTTGGTATGTATTTGGCTACAGTGTTTCCCTGTTACTGACACTGTGGCCACATCCTGGCAACAGGATTTCACCTGGCTGCAAAAACCTTGAGCAAGTTGTTCTCTGTTTTTCCTCTCTCACCTCCTGGATTTGCAAATTGTGCACAAATGCCCACTGTTCCCTCATGTTCCATAGCCAAAAGGCATCTCCATTATAGGCTTCACTTTCAAGTTGTAGCGTGCTGCTGACATGCAATTTCACCCAGTCGTCCTGATTTTGCTGTATGGATCTCACCTACATAATTGACAGTAATGATGGGAAGCACCACACCCAGGACTGGCTATAGCCATTAGCTAATAATCTCAGTTACAGAGAAAGGCCCATCTTACTTGCAGCTGCCAAGCCGGTGATGTAACAGCTCCTCCCCTTCCAGTAGACACATGGCAACGAAAATCCCACTGAAGCTATGAGATATTACTGCAACTGGGGAGTTTGGAAGTATCTATCAGCAAAAAGCACAAGTTCTGCAGTAGCAGCACTGCAAGGAGGCCCACAGACAGCCTCCTACCACTGAACAGGCTTAGCAAAACTCGCTGTCCCTTGTGAATTGGTTGAAGACACACTTGTCCTTCTCCATGCAAGAAGCAGGCACATGTCGTTTGGTCTTTTTCTCAGTGAGGTGCAGCCCTGCTGCTTGAGCCGGGCACTTGTTACATCGCTGAGAAGTAACTGCTTCCAGCTTTGTTCCTGGAAAAGGCCAGTGTGCCTTCAGTTGCATGTGAAAGCAACTCTGATGTGTGGCTGGAGTTTCAGTTTTCTGAATTCTGTGTTACAGTTAACACAACCTGAAATTAATACGTGCTGCTATCCTGTACTACAGTCCCGTAACATCATGGAACTTTCATCTTGAAGGGAAGTTACTCAGATAAAAATGTGCTTTTAAGTCCCTTTTCCTGAAAACAATAGATAACATGCATTGCATTAGATTAAGCTTTGCTTCAAGAGATGGTTGTTACACATTTAGTCCTAAGAAGACAGCAGCATGTGTCATTTCTAAATGTAATCCCTAGCTGTGCTTACAAATAACCACAAGTCGAGATCAGCATACACTTAAAAAGGTGTCTTCCCATTGTGACAAAGCTGGGCTATTTCAACACAAGCTGCCTGTGTTTCAGGGACAGACTGCTGACTAATGTAAGTTACCTGAGGTGAGAACAGCACAGTTGTATGACGTGGGGCTTTTCTGGTGTTTCAGGGGAAGTTCGTGACAGTGAAGCAAGCTTTTCTTTTCAAGGGCTGTGCCCAGTGAGTCAAGAATGAAGTTTATTACCTTTCAATTCAGTTGTGCCCCTCGGAAACTTGTGCTGCAGTAGTCTGCAAGCAGAAACAAAAGACTTCAAGGTAGAAATCAATAACTTGTTTGTAATCCCCTTCTTGGCATTTGCTGTAAATAAGTCCCTTGGGGAGAGGCACTGGAACTACAGATTTCCTGACCCTGTAACGTAATTCCTGGAAGCATTCCTTTCTCAAGAATCTGGTAAATACTGCTACAGCTTACTGGGGCTTTTGTGAGGGGTTACAGTAGTAGAAATAAGTAGTGGGTAGTTTAAAGGACAGTTCAGAATCTCAGCATGGGAATATTGCAAGAGAGGGGAAGATATCTGGCCAGAGCTCTGAACGTTGCCACTCACAAAAGAAGAGCTGGAAGGGCAAAGCTGCGCAGTCTGATTCTCAGTCTCAGACCCTTGTGCCACAGCTTCACTTGTGACCAAATGTAAACAGCTTTAAATGCAATACAAATTAAAAACACACAAGGAACATTCAGGGAATGGCGCTGGAGATAGTTAAGGTCAAGTTAACTGTTCTCATTAATGCTTTACCTGCCGTGTGATGAAAAGCATCTGTGTGATGCCAGTGTGCGTACGGGTGAATGGTCTACCTTCAAAATCCCAGAAGGTTCTATTTTCTTCTGCTTGCCTGAAACGATCAGAGCTCATCTATGACTTTCTCACACAGGTTCAGAAAACACACGGACTTGTCAATGCTGGCATATCTGATATCACCATCCGTCCAGACAAGAAGATTTTAGCAACAGCAGGGTGGGATCATCGCATCAGGATCTTTGGCTGGAAAAAACTGAAGCCCTTAGCAGTGCTGGACTACCACACCGCAACTGTCCATTCTGTGTCCTTCTCAGACCACAGCAGCCCCACTGACAGACTGCTGGCAGCTGGTGCAAAGGATCACCGCATCAGCATCTGGTCCATATACACTCAGACGTGACAGTTTGCATTGTCATGCGCTGGGAAGTAGGATCGATGAAGCCATTCCTTACACAGTACCTCAAACCTGGACCTGGTGAAGTAGTAGAACTTTTTTTCCAGGCAGAGGTGAGTGTCTGGAAATTGCTAGATTAAAATTCTGTGCTGACTGTTCATGTGGAAAGTTCCGTCTCCCATGGAGGGGAGTTGACTTCTAAAACTTACAACAGGCAGAGCAAGGCCAGTCATGAACAGTGACAGAGGACTGGCTGCTGAGTTCTGCTGCAGGTTTTGCAACAGCTTTTTCTGTGGCATATTGCTAAAATACCTTGGGCCAATTTCTGGAAAAAGAACTGGAATTTCTCAGCCTTCTGTGGGAGCAGAATGTCTCTGCTCGTAAGTCACTTGTGTATCTAACAATCTGTATCAGTGTAAAATACCTCTCTTCTGTGAGAACTTACACCCATTAAACCAGCTCCAGTGGTTTTTCATTGTCAGTTACTTTTTCTTCCCTGTAAGTGAAAGGCTATCAGAGCAGCCTTGATTTGTTCGCACTTCTGTCAGTTTCTAACTTAAACCAACAGCCAGGAATGTGACTTGGGACGGCCTTTGGCATTTATGAATTTCATTATGTCTCCCGTCACCTCAAGTCTCACAATTAATCACAAGAAGAAAAGGGGAAAAATAACCTTCCCCTGCACTGCACTGCAAAGCTATGTAAAGCCTTTTACAGAGCCAGTGCTAAATCCTTTCCATGGACTGACTAGCTGAAGGATTTAAACTCAGCAATCCAATTAGCGCCTTCTCCTTGGAGAGTTAGGGTAAGTTTCAGCATGGCAAGGCTGGGATTCAGCTACACGACTCACATTAACATGTAGGGGAATTTCATGGATAAATCCTTACCCACACAGTGCAGATGGATCCATTAACTTGTCATCTCCATGGTCACAGAAGCTGAAATTCTTTCACGAAGGAGGGTTTTTCTGAGTGGTGAAGCATTAGCATTCTCTGACTGCACCAAGAAGATCTCTGTGAACAGACTGTCCTGCTTTGGTCCCTTTGAAGTCACACAACTGCAGCTGTCCCACAGAAGCACTCAGCTGATGCCAGGTTGTTGGGGACCTAATTTCAGAGACTAAAGACTATGGAACAGCTCCACAGACAGCAGTGCTCGTGTTGTGCAGGTTCTGCACCAGTGGTATTTTGCTGTAAATGTTTTTCTGCCTTGTTACAAGGTTAATAGCAGAGAAAATGTCACCAGAACTGTAGTGAACAGCAACATCAAGAGATTCCCAAAATAAAAGCCTGATGTTCTTGCTCTCACAGAAACAGCACCCTGTTCTACCAGCTTTTCTAAAGAAAATTTGGTCTTGCACCTTTTGGAGTGTGACAGCACTTCAACAATTCATTTCTTTGAGTGTTTCTTTACTGTTAGGCAGCTGCACCAATGATCACACTGCATTAAAAAAGGCAAATCCTAATTTTGAGTGATCCTGAGTCAGAGGGTGGTGCTGGTGTTCATTACATCTATCAGACACTGTTGCCTAGATAGCAATGGCTCCATCTGCACACATCATCCACCTCCCACGCAAAGGAGGAGTTGCCTGTGCCATACACGAGTCTCCAGGCCAGGAGGACAGAGTCCTTCTGCACAGACCTGCTGCTAGAAGAGACTGCCATCTCTTCCTTAGGACACAGCCCAGGTGTAACCACTCAGGTTTTAGTCTCCACTTAAGATTATAAACCAATCGCTCAGATTTTTAATAAGCTGTAAAAGCCACGTCCCCATCCGCCCTGTGCTGTGCAGTCACAGCCCCTTTTCTTATCAGTAAGCTCTATGGGAGAGATGAAGGTCAGTGCCCCGCAACTGCTGTCAGGCTGGTGGCTGGGCACAGTCAGCTCTCCATCTTCTCATGCAGACTCCGGGCGCCCTGGGACACAAGATCAGCACTGCACAGCCACCTCTTCACACTGCTGCCCGAGGTGCAGGAAGAGCTGCTGCCGTCATTGTGATCAAGGCCAGAGTGCTGCCTCAGGATGCCTGGCACCACAGGCACTGGACTGCTCCCTGCTGGAGCCCAGCATGGGTATTCAAGAGGCACATGGATAAAATGCCCTCAAGTAATACATACTTTAACTGGTTGCTGCAGGAAATAAGAATGGCCAAATCTGCTCCCTGTAGAGAAGAAAACCACTCCAGCCTCGTGTTCTCGAGCCAGGTCTCAAAGCAGTACAGAGCATTACTGTAATGAAGCCACAGCATGTAGTAAGTACCTTGATGCAAATACTGGCACAGAGGCAGCACCCAGCCACCCGCTCCAGAAGAACAAACACGTGCATTAATTTGAAGTGCTATTAGCTCACAGACACTGTTAGAAACTCTTCAGTATATTCTTCCCTCAGAAAATGCCACTTGCTGTCAAGGTTGATCTAAATTAACTACGGAGATTCACAAGGGGGACAAAGATTTACTAATAGGTCTGTTGGAACACACACTATGTGCCACTGCATTGGAATAACTGCCTTTTGCTAGGGGTTATATAGCTGTATTTATCTGACTAGACAGATGTAAAAACTCAGTCATGCAAATACAAACTGAAAACGAGAGCACGAGCTGCATCTGTATTCTTAGCAGCAGGCAGAAGAGGCAAAGAGTCTCATCAGCTTCAGGAGGAAGGACACGTGCAGATCACTTGCAAGAACAGATCCATCCTACACTTTGTTCTTTTTGCCTTACCCAGGCACCATCCATGACAGGTTAGTGCTGTAGATCACTGGCAATTTTTTTTAAACAGTAAAGAGAATTTTAATTTTTTTCACATTACAGTTTCCTTGAAATGAACAACCAGACTGATTAGTTTGGTTTAGAGCTGAGCCTAAATGCCATAGTTTGAACTAGAATTACAGTTTTCTAAAAGTTTATTTGCTTAAGGAGCAGACCTGGACCTTCCCAAAGCTGAGTAACTTCCACAAGAAGGATGGTGTATGTTCATATAGACTGTAAAATGCAGTTATCTGACAGCATCTAGAAAAGTACAATATTTCCAGAGGGGAGGGGGGAAATATTGCTAAGGCTCCTTGCAACTGAAACACAAGCATGGTCATCTGTCAACATTTCAGCTGACTTTCTAGCAGGAAGGTTTGAGTAAAGAGCCAACTTAAGTTGCTGGCATTAGCTCTGGAACATCCCTGTTGAGAATGGAATAGGGCTACCCTGTACCTGGCCTGAAGGATTCAGGAGCGAAGCTGAGGACAGCCAAGTTATTACAGAAGGCTTCCTCCCGAGAATCACTGCCTTTGCACTACAAGAGGGAAGAAAGCAACAAGCATCCATAAACTAATAGAAAATAAATCCCAAACACTAACATTTGTTCAGCAATTACACAGAATATTTATCACCACTGCAATGAGTGGCGATCTCTGACACCCCCCAGTATTTTCTGCAAATGAACCCATCAGTCCCAAACCTTTCTCTTATCAGCACCTGGGCCATAAAGCAAGCATTGCTGACTTCGGTGTCGGTGAGAGGGAAGAGGAGATTAATGGTATATGAGCAAAAAAGGAAGGAGGCTGAGGGCCTGCAACAGGACCGCTGCTGAGGTCAGCCCTGTGCCATGCATTGCACGAGTGACCACGAAGGGAGGCTGTGCAAGCTCAGCTGGGATCATATTTGAAGGAGCAGATTATTATAGTGAAGACAATATTGGTTTCTGAACTGCTTTGATTTTGAGCTTACTTAAGATGCACCTACAAAGCCATCTTCTTAAAAATTAATAAATCTTTCCTTTAATTCAGTCTGCCAAGAATGAAGATTGAATGCTGACTACTGCAGGAGACACCGTAGTGATGCAAACCAAAGGACTAGGGATTAAACAAGGATTACTCAGCACTAAATCAATGTGCTTCCCTTTGGCCTGTGTGTCTGTGGTGTGAAAGTGTGGATGGTTACATAAAACATGGTCCATGACTACCTGGATTAACACTAGCCCATGTTAAAGCAGTGCTGAGACAGAAGATTTGATATTTAAGCATAACTATTCTGTGTATTACCAAGAGAAATAATAATAACGATGGCACGAGTAAGGAATAAAGAACAGCTTTTTCTTTATAGTAGTCTGCAATTCCAGCCTGGATCCCCACGCTAGAGTGATTTTACAAGTAGGCCTGGCTCCATTTAATCTGTGCACTGCAGGTTTATTTTATAACGTGAAGAAAACTAACAATGAAGATTGCAGCGGTTTTTGGCAGTTCATTTGAGGATCTCACAGTATGAAACTAAACACAACAAAAACGTGCTGCCCTATTGGCTAAAGGAGGCAGACCTGAAGCACACTTGTTGTAAGACTTGCCAACAATACCACATTAAACACAGCAAGTAGCCAAACTCCCCATCCCCTGGCCGCACCACGCAGCGCCAGCCTTTGGTCCCGACTGCCTTGGTTGGGCACACAGCTGTTGCCATGTCTGGCATTATTACCAGCCCCCCTTACCAAATAACACACATAACGGCTTCATTTGGGTGGAGACATCTCCTCTACTCATTTTTAAAGGATATCAGCTTCATTTACTCAACCTATTACAATTTCTTTTTCCCATAACGGCGTCCTCACACCCCCGGTACATTTTGTGCTCATGTCTGAAGAGGTAAATTTTAAGTTTCAGCTATCGGTGGTTTATTTTCCTTCAGCACAATCCATCACAAAAACATTGGTGCTATGTGTTATTAAACCGCGTAGTTGGGAACATGGCAACACAATTTCTCAGTTTTGAACATTCCACTCCCCTAATTAATTGAATACATCTGTATGTTATACCAACATTACTGTACAGTGCCTTATTCTGACTTACCGCATAGGAATTTGATGTGCAGTTCAGTGTCATAAGAGGAAGAGAAAGGGAGAGGGCACGAAACTCAAATGGAAGCAGCCCTTATAAGAGCTCAGATCTCCAAAGAAGAACCTTGAAGCCAAGCACCTCCAGCAAGGTGCCAGATGCCCTGCAGGACAAGGACAGCACATGAGAAGAGAACCCAGACTGAGCAGGAGGTGAAGTGACAGCCTGCCTTTTAGAACTCGTACAGCAGCTTCAGAAGTACTTGCTGTCGCCAGCCCACATCCTTGTTTAAAGGGGTTGGACCATTAGGAAATCCTACAGACAACTACGGGCACCTGCAAAGGAGCGTGTGCTCACCCAGGCAAACACTCAACTTGTGCTCTGCTTCCCACACCAGTGGCAATAGCAGCAGAAGGGCTGAGCTCTGGAAGCAGCCACACGCACTGCAGCAGCACCGGCCCAGAGCTGCACCAACTCCTTACAGCAGAGCAATGCAAATACTTACTCTGACAATTGCCTACTTCAATTAGAAATTCTAATTTAAAAAGATGGTACATCAAACTGAGATTACAGCTGGGATGCTATTTGTTCTCAGTTTTTATTCAGAGTGCATAAATCACAACATTAAAAAAACCAAAACACTTTCCATACAGACACAATCTCTCTCCTACCAGCTGTGGGGATGATAGATCCTGATTATGTCCAGAACAGGGAACACAGGGAGGATCTTGAAATGCTCAGCAAGACCTGCTCTCCAGCTCTGGCATCCCATGCACACACCATGCTGCTCACTATGAACGAGTTCTGGCATAGGTGGAGGCAGGTGAACTATATAATAACTTCCAACATGGCAGACATCAGACATGTGGTATTTGTCTTGCTGGTTAACTTGAAAGAATTGCTGATGTGAAATCTTGGTGAATACATCATGCTCACAGAAAAGCAGGTAGTCTGCTTTTAACACAAAGCTCATGGCAAGTGTTGTCTCTTCAGGTACATTTTGCTCAGATACTTTGATGGCATGCAGGCTTGGCATCATGCTAAACAGAGACATTGAGTCCCTACAGCGTTATCAGCTGACCCATCTGGCTTGAAGTAGATGACAACAAGCAGGAAAGGGAATAGCATGAAAGACTCACTTCGTGTTTGCAGAAATAAACCCGTGAGGCAGCACTCAAGTAAAATCAGAGCAGGAGGAGAGCTGCTGCGCTCCCTCTCACTGCTGCGCTCCCTCTCACCGTCCTGTCTAGCCCTAAGACGTTCAGCACAGGAAGGTTTTCACACTGGGTACCAGTGCCTGGTGGGGTGCAGCGAGGGGAAGCAGCTGCCCAGAAGCGAGGGATGATGAGAGCACTATGCAAGCAGAATAAAGAAGGCAGAACTGAGGCAGAGCCCAGCCATCAGCCACGTTACAGCCACTAAAGCAACTCTTCGTGCGAGGACCCCCGCTCAGTGTGCTTCAGTAAGCTCCGCATGCTTATTCCATGTTTAACTTCCTTTTCCAATTCAGACACGGCCCAGGGACTTCCTCCAAGTTTATGCCAGCACCCATTTCAGCAGCAGCAGCACGATGCCCTGCCCCTGCTACAGCCCGGGCTGTTAGCACAGCTATCCCCACAGCAGTCTATTGAGCTACAAAAACCCATACATACCCCTTCCTTCCCCAGGGCCCAGCACCCACTCAGCACGTTC